TTCCTTTTTAGTGTAGAATTTTATGGGAAAGGATCATGTCAGTAACTCTGTGGTCAGTAACCATGAGTAACCTGTCCACATCAGCATGACATTAGTATCCTCTCTCTCCTGGAAAGTCTTATATCTTTTCCCTTTTAATCTTTAACGGACGATTTCTCTCTCATTTTAAGTCGATTTTTTTTTGCACAGATAAATCAGATTAATTGTGCTCTTTAAAATGATATCTACTTTTATATATTTTTAGTACAAAAAATTGAATAATTTTTTACCACTCAGTACCATATGGTATGCTCCTATTTAATACCATATGATAAGAAAGCGTACCATGATGGTAAAAACATACCAATATGGTAAGAAGGTTGAATACATGATAGTAGAAGTATACTACCTATCATTTACGACTTTCATCATTGTTTACTACACGTTACAACCCACATACCATAGTGGTAAAGTATGGTAATTTTTTATCCAGTATTTTTTTCACTCATAAATTTATAGATCCAATAGATCATGATGAACTCGTTCCTTCTGAGCAAACGTTTTCAAAACGACTTAAAAATGAGGAAGTTACCATATGGTATGTAATTGGTAAAAAAAATTTCTCGAAATATATATAAAATTGATCTCATTTTGTAGATCATAACGAACTCGTTCCATCTGTGCAAAAAAGTTGAAATCCAAGTTAGAACGAAGAAGATAAGAGCCGATTAAGAAAACTATGGAAAATAAAATGTCTTTAATTGACAACCCTTAAATCTGAATTTTCTCGACCCACTTAGATCTAAAGGTCCAGATTTAGTTACTCATAGATCAGTAACCAATGGTTACTGACCCTATCCTAATCCGAATTTTACCTTGATTATTTCCTACTTACAGTAGGTTTGTATTATATTTTCTTGGCTATAAATAGCTCTCTATTTTCGTTGTAAAAACATAAGAGTTGAGTTGAATAAAAATTACTCCTTCGTGAGTTTTTTGAGTCTTTGAGTTGTGTCTCAAGAATCAAATCCTTGAGTTAGTTTTGTGAGGATTCCATTGCTAATTCGAGAACCCTTGTCAATCTTTTCTTTTAGGATTCCAGAACCGGTTTACGAGTTTTCTTATCAATCAAGTAAACACCTTGATTGTGGCGAAATTCTACCTATCCGTTTTATCTATCGTTGAAGAGTTCTGAGCTGCATATTCTGATCAAACAAAGCACCCCCGGGTGCTTTATCATATAATCATGTCAGTTAGTTTTATTTGTTCAAAATCCTTAATACGAAATGTTGAATGCAGATTAAATTTATCTTATTTCTTCTATAATACATCAAAATAATTCCTAATAACTAAAGTCCTTGCATTTATTGTCATAACCTCATAATAATCTAAATGAAGTTTTATTAACAAAATTATAATACGAAAATTACGTTCGGTGGAACGTGGTAAAAGTTATAATTAAAACGATTGAAGTTCGAACGAACTACTTGGACTTTGATCCCGTCCAACGGGTACGTAGACAACCGATAAGGTTCTAGTCCAACTAACCAATTAACTTTATCTCTTAATTTTAAGTCAATGGGCGTATCATTAAATTATAACTAATACGATTTAAATTCTTTAGTGGTCCGGTAAGGCTCTAAAAATACCTAATAATAAACTAATGGGTTAAAGACACATTTGGTCACTGACATTACAAAATCGGGAAATGTTTAGTCACTAGAAAAAGTTAATATCAAATTTGGTCACTACAATTATTAAAACTGGACGCATTTAGTCACTCGCCATTAGTCTCCGTCCAACTCCGTTAATGAAGTCCGTTAAGTGCTGATGTGGCAAACAAAATTGCCTAATCAGCCGGATATAACCCAACAAAAATAAAACCCGACCCGCCACATCATTATAACCCGCAACGTCATTAAAACCAACCCAACCCATGACCCAACCCCACCCAACCCTTCTTCCTCCTTCCTCCCACCTCGGCACCTCCCACCTCCTTCTTTCCCCAAAACCGCCGCCGCCGCTCTCCTCCTTCCTCCCACCTCCTCCCGCAAACCTGTTCGACCTAACCCAGCAGACCAATCCTTCACCAACGAGGCCATTGACGTTCACAAAGAATCCCCCAAATGTTCACAATTGCATCAGAGAGAAATGCAAGACCAAGGAAAGCACAGAGCAAACCAGGCAGCAGAGCTGGAAAAAAAAATATGCTAAGCCAGTTCAACAAGCAACACCTCGTATACGTTTAACAAGCTTCAACTAGACCTCAAACAGTGAACACTTTGGTGACTTCAATCAGGTATTGAGTGGCTACGTTCATTTCCAGCAACAACAGAAATCTCAATCCCCAACCGAACCTACAAATCAACTCCCCCAAGCAACAATTTTTAACCAAAAACTGTAGAACTTACAGATCTTTTGGCCACTCAATGACGATTCTTTCCTTCAGAACAGCAACCGTAGACGCCGGCGAATACCTAAACGGACCAATATCGGTTCCATCGTACAACCTGAACTTGAGCTCCACAAAATCTTCCTCCAGCATTTGCTCTTTAGTCGTATCGCGTATCTCCAAAGCCGTTGAATCTCTCTTTCTCCCAATCAATCCGATCACTGCACAATTCCAAGACTTGTCTCTCCCTCTCTCTCTCTAACTCATAATCAATTAAGGAAAAAGTCAACAGCGGGCCGTCAGTTCAAGCTCTACATCCCTTTCTAGCTCAGAATAGAAAACGTAATCAAGACTGAAACTTGTTGAGAGCGATTCATCGAAAAGTTGCATTACCTGAAAAAAAATCCGAACGTGCCCCGATTGGCAGCCCGTCTTCTCCCCGCCCAGCGAATTTGGATGGGATGGGGAAAACCCTAAATTGGGTTCGGCCGGACTTCAGCAGGAGGAATCTTGACGATTACCCTTTTACCAGGTTTGGTCTGTTTGGTCGAACAGGTTTGCGGGAGGAGGTGTGAGGAAGGAGGAGAGCGGCGACGACGGTGGTTTTGGGAAAAGAAGGAGGTGGGAGGAAGGAGGAAGAAGGGTTGGGTAGGGTTGGGTCATGGGTTGGGTTGGTTTTAATGACGTGGCGGGTCGGATTTTATTTTTGTTGGGTCATATCCAGCTGATTCGGCAATTCTGTTTGCCACATCAGCACTTAACGGACTTCATTAACGGAGTTAGACGGAGACTAACGGCGAGTGACTAAATGCGTCCAGTTTTAGTAATTGTAGTGACCAAATTTGATATTAACTTTTTCTAGTGACTAAACATGTCCCGATTTTGTAATCTCAGTGACCAAATGTGTCTTTAACCCATAAACTAATACGATAAAAATTTTCAACGGTCCAGTGGGACCCCTAAAATTACTAAATTATTACTAAAAATACACCCAACTAATATAAAACTTATTAAACTTAAGTAGTACCGATTTAGGGCGTTGTGGGGTGTGATTTCACTTCCCCACACGTAATCGTACTCCCGAACCCGAATCTCTTAACCGCAGACCATATCTCGGTTCTAACCCTAAGGTTAGAGCCGATTTGAAGAGTGCTCGATCCACTCTAAGTAAGATCGATGGCGACTCCCAAAAAGCCAACGGAACCCCGACGGACCCCCGGAGGGATGGTTGCTACAGTTATTTTTTTGCTTATTTTGTGTTGGATTATTTGTTTTATGTTTTGAAAATGTTTGAGAACTATGTGTGGGATATGGGGTGGATTGGGGGATTTTGAGAATCGTGAGTAGCTTTGGCCTTTGGCTCAGGGGAGGAGCTGCATTGTAGCTAGGGTGGGGCCGCCCCGGAATTGGTCCCGACCCCTAGGTTTTTAAGGATATTTAGTACAAATTTTATAAGTAGAACTTGTTCTGTAAATTTTGTCATGTAAGAGTTATGTGGTCTAATGGTAGCAAAGCTTAACTTGTGTTATAAAGCACAGGGGTTTGATCCACATTGGTTATCTGATTTTATTGTAATTATTTTCGGCCCCCTGGTCTCGAAATCCTAGCTCCACCCCTGCTTTGGGTCATTAATAGGGGTGAGTATGTGGATGGTTAATCTATAGTTTGATTTTGATCCATCCGCGAATAATTGAAATCGTAGTGGGTGAGTGATTGATACAAACAAATCTTGGATAAAAAAATTCCTATTAACACTTATTCAGATGGATGGTCAGTAGGTTGTGGGTCATCCGAATGACCCACACCCCACTTTCACATGACAAAAAAATATTTCTTATTTATAGTATCGAATATCCATCATATTTCATAAGCGCACCACACTCCGGCCATGGACTTTTAAAAGGAAAAAATAATATTTTTAATCTGTTACTATTAGCTATTATTTTGTGTTATGTCCATCAATTATAAATTATTCACTATTAATTATATAAAGGTCATAAAAAGCATCAATTTTCACTACAACTTGTTGATGTAGTAATGAAAGATTTTATACTTCTGTCAAATAAGTGAAATTCGGATAAGTAAAGAGTTTAGGTGTCTAAGAATATGTGGTCAAGACTTTGTTTTTTATCGAGAATACTTCATTTAAAGTGGTCAAATGAATATTTTATATGAGTACTAATTTTTTTACATGTCATGAGTACTAGATAGATCCACACGAGACAAAGTGGGAAGTGTTTTTGTTGTAGGATATTGCAAAGAGTGGAGCCCAAGCAAGGGCATGACGAAGGCCAATAAAGACAAGTTTGATTACCCAGAGGGAGAATCCCACGAATGGGCCTGCCGGGCCCAGTCCAAATAGGATAAGGGGTGCATAGACACAAGATACGGAAGATCCCAAAGAAGTCCAGGATGCCAACTGTCCCCCCACCCCCAGACGCATGTCAGTTGTTAGAGGACTGACAAGGCGGTTGGGTTGCTTGACAAGAATCAAGGTACGAAGGATTAAATGCGATGCTAACGTGGAGGAACTCGACACCTAACAATGGCCAAGTGTAACCAATGAAAGGGACTGCAGTATAGTGGCACAAGTAATAAATATCGAATCCACGGGTCTCTAGAGTTACTATTACTCAGCTTCAGTTCATTATCTAGCAAACTAGATTAAGGATCGATTAACTAAACTACTCTACTAACTAAACTAAGTAAAACTACTAATTACAGTTTTGGAACTCACTTAGGTATGATTCCCCCTAGCTCCTCAATTAGGTCCAAGTTGTAATTCCTTTTGGTTGTTTTACTGTTGATTAAACTGCGGAAGATCCGACAGTAGCTTGGAATCTCTTAAGCTGACCAAGCCCTCTCAGTCTCACTATCCGGCAGACGACTAGTCTTCACCGGGATAGAAAGCTGAAGCAATAAGCACAGAACTCCACTACTGGAATTGGATTCCAGTACAAAGCAGTAAACTGGCTAACTCTCGTATAGTCAATCTCCTACTACCGAATGATGAGGCTCTAACAACCTAATCAGATTCTATCTATCTCAGATTGCAGCAGAAATCAGGAAAAGTTGATCAGACTTCAATTGACTCAATAAACATGCATCATTCGATTATAATCAAACAATATAGCATCCAAAACTTCATACAAGAAAGATCCTAACTCATGGAACTAGGGTTCCTCAAAACCTAAGTGAAGGGAAGTTACTCCATAGAGAAGGGAGAGACTGCAGAAATCTGATCTAGATCTTCAATCTCCATCTCCAAGCTTGATTCCCGAGCTCCAATGGCGAAGAGATCCTCCAAAATAGCTCCAAGAATGTTCCCAAGTCGCTCTCTCTCTAGGGTTCATCCCTTGGGTGTTTGGGATCCAAAACCCAGCTCTCCCTCTCTCCTTTTACTGAAAATCGGGTTTTAACCAGCAATTCCCGACTCACACGGCCAGGCCACACGGCCGTGTGGCTTTCCCAGCTGCCCGTGTGAAGGCTCGGTGATTTCCACACGGCCACATGGCCAGGTTACACGGTCGTGTGGGTTGTGCCCGTGTGGCTTGCTCAGCCTCTGTTTAATGCTTCGTTTCTCCCTCGTCCGGACTCCGAATCAGTCGCCGTTTGATCCCAGACGCTCGTAGTCTCGTCCTCTTTCTTTTCATGACAAGCTTGCATGATTCTTTGTCCATAAAGTGAGGTAGAAATCCATTCTTCTTCAGGTCATGCCCGAGTTTCTTCTCTCGAATCGTCAATTGATCTCTGATTGACTTGAAACTTGCGCCTATGCTTCACTTTATGTGCTAGGACCTGAAATGTGACAAAGGAACACAACGTAGAATAAAATAGGCCAAAGACGCAATAATTCAAGCTCAAACAATCAAGAAACAAAGGGGAAAACATGTGCAAATACCGAGTCATCAAATCCCCCCACACTTAACTGTTTCCTTGTCCCCAAGCAAACCTAACTCAAACCAATGCAGCTCTCCAGACCTCTATAGAAAAAAACAACCCCGATCGTCGGTAGAGGATTTCCTAGATCATATAGCAGCTTACGAGGTCAACTGGTCTTCTAAGACGTCCCCTATCTCTCTCAATGCGAGTACTAGACTCAAGCCAGGAACATGAGAAGAAGTAGAAGTAAGACAGTCAGTTCATGGACAAAGGGACTCACACCATTCACAACCAAGGACTCGTTGTACCGGGGTGCTCTTTCACTTCATTTCACCGTTGGAACCCCCTTTTTGCACTTTCATTTACATTTCTTTTTCTCTTTTTTTCTTCAGTCACTTGGCGAGGGTTCCAACTGCAGTCTTTTGCACGGTCGACCCTTATTAGTCGAGCAAGAGCAATTTTTGTACATCTAGCGCTCGCCAGAGTACTTCTTTTAACTCCTTTTTCTCAACTCGTGTGGAGGGTCAATGAAATCAAGGGGGGTCGGAAGCTCTATCCGTGCCCTTAAAAACACATCCTCAAGTAGGCAAACCGTTCAACGGGTGGAAGTTTTACTTGTACTAGAGACGGCTTAGCTTCACCTTGTAGGAGTACCCCACTAAGGATCACTAAAATCTCTTCCAAAACCCGATTTTGTGCAATGAACGGTGCCGCACACGTTTGGCTTACCCCATGTTTAAGATTTAACAATTTTGATATGGAGGACCAACTGCATTTTTCATTTTCCACATGAGCACCCAGTTCGATACACGAGTCCAAAACACAATCCACATAGAGTCACCATTACCACATGAATTCAACGGTCCTAGCTCCACTAATTCACAAAATCAACTGGCACAACAAAGAGCTAGATAGGAAAAATCTTATACTTCAACATCCTCCATAGTGCTACACTACCTCCCTAGGTTGCACATTACTATAGAGACAGTCAATTCAAAGCATACTGAGCAGGCAATTTGCAAGGAAATACGTGTTTGGAGCCCTCAAATTTAAAAATTTGGACAGTGGACTAGGCTCCAAGCACACAAACAGCCAAACATTCACCCGCATACATAATCGAACATCCCCCCACACTTAAGCACGACATTGTCCTCAATGGAGGAAAGATAAGGAGGGTAGAACGAAGTTACCAGATCAAGGGTGAATGATGATGGACGGGTCAGGCGGTGCATTCCAGGAAGAGAGATCAATCAGAACGCAAACACCACACAAAATCTCACAAAGGTTGAGTTATTGAATCTGAAATCAAATAACAAAACTGACTCAACCGAGGAGAAATAGAGATAGAAATGCAAACCGACTGGTTGGGTTGCCTCCCAACAAGCGCTTCTTTCACGTCGTGAGCCGGACGATGGCTCCTAAGTTTCGGTCCATCTAGAACCTCCTTGAAGTTGAGGTTCTCGTTGATGAGGTGGAGTATCAAGTCACGAGCATGTGGTGTGGCAGGTGATGAAGGCTCATGTACTTGATGCAGATGAAGTCTCCACCCTCGAGACCTCTTCTTCTCTTCCCTCGTCTCATTGCCCCAAACCAAATATGACAGCGTCGATTGGCCACCATCGCGTCCACCAAGAGGGACCGATGTTGATGTAGCCTTGGTCTGGCAAAGAGACACTGCAAATGGGTCCTTGCTAAGCAGTTCCTCAAAGTTTGGTGGGGATATTACTTGCAACTCATGGCCGGTGCAGGCCTCTTCCACCTTAACTCCGTCCTCAGCCTGGACGCCAGTTGCTTCCTCAACCCCCCTTCCTTCTTCAAAATGTGGTCTCTCCCCTGGGAAAAGAGTAAGAACCACCTCTTTTTTTCTTTCTTCCTCATCCTCCACAACTTCCTTCCTCATCCTTGCTCGCTCTTCTTCTTCTAGAACAGATTGGAGAGCAAGTCGCCAAGCAATTTCTTCAATGGGATCATCTTGCATCTCCTCGCACGGGCCTAACATGTTAGAGCATAAATGAGGAAAGGTATGATCTGCAACCAAAGGACTTCCCTGATCATGATTATCATGGGAGTTCTCTGTGATAACTTCTGTATGCTCCTCAACGCTCCCGTAGCCTTTGTCATCCTCCACCTCTTCTAGCGTGGCAGCAGAAAGGTGATCTTGAGCAAGATGTGAGCAAACTTGCTGCACCCACTCTATTTGCTTTGCTGAGCGCTGAACAGTCTCCTCCATATCATGGAGAAATGAGGGATCGGAAGAGGCAAGGGCTTGGATTTGAAGATCCATCTTGGAGCATGCTCTCTCAGTGTCTCGAGCAAACTGCTCCACGAGAAGCCTTAATTGTTTGTTCGGATCTTCCAGTGAAGTGTAGCATGGCTCTGCAGAGTGGCCCGTGAAGGCCGCCATGGGTAACTCCAGCTCCGATGGCCCTTCTGGTTGTGGGAGAAAGTCTTCTTGGTAATGAGGTTGTTCTTGATATGCCCAAAGGTCTGATTGTTCTCCGTAGTAAGGGGGTTGGTACTGGAACCTGAATCCATAGTCTTCTCCCCCTTGATTGCTGTAGGGAGTCTCGGGGTAATACCACCCGGATGGTGATGGATACCCCCAATGGTTGGAGAAGCCATGAGGATCCATGATTCAGAACTGCAACAACAAAAACAAAAAACACCCAAGTGAAAAGCAAGGGTGGAAAAGAAAATAAAAACGCTAAAGTAACAAACTTCTGCCTTTCCTAATAATCTAGAAAGTCCCCGGCAACGGCGCCAAAAACTTGACACGCTAAAACACAACACCTAACAATGGCCAAGTGTAACCAATGAAAGGGACTGCAGTATAGTGGCACAAGTAATAAATATCGAATCCACGGGTCTCTAGAGTTACTATTACTCAGCTTCAGTTCATTATCTAGCAAACTAGATTAAGGATCGATTAACTAAACTACTCTACTAACTAAACTAAGTAAAACTACTAATTAAAGTTTGGGAACTCACTTAGGTATGATTCCCCCTAGCTCCTCAATTAGGTCCAAGTTGTAATTCCTTTTGGTTGTTTTACTGTTGATTAAATTGCGGAAGATCCGACAGTAGCTTGGAATCTCTTAAGCTGACCAAGCCCTCTCAGTCTAACTATCCGGCAGACGACTAGTCTTCACCGGGATAGAAAGCTGAAGCAATAAGCACAGAACTCCACTACTGGAATTGGATTCCAGTACAAAGCAGTAAACTGGCTAACTCTCGTATAGCCAATCTCCTACTACCAAATGATGAGGCTCTAACAACCTAATCAGATTCTATCTATCTCAGATTGCAGCAGAAATCAGGAAAAGTTGATCAGACTTCAATTGACTCAATAAACATGCATCATTCGATTATAATCAAACAATATAGCATCCAAAACTTCATACAAGAAAGATCCTAACTCATGGAACTAGGGTTCCTCAAAACCTAAGTGAAGGGAAGTTACTCCATAGAGAAGAGAGAGACTGCAGAAATCTGATCTGATCTAGATCTTCAATCTCCATCTCTAAACTTGATTCCCGAGCTCCAATGGCAAAGAGATCCTCCAAAATAGCTCCAAGGATGTTCCCAAGTCGCTCTCTCTCTAGGGTTCGTCCCTTGGGTGTTTGGGATCCAAAACCCAGCTCTCCCTCTCTCCTTTTCCTGAAAATCGGGTTTTAACCAGCAATTCCCGACTCACACGGCCAAGCCACACGGCCGTGTGGCTTTCCCAGATGCCCGTGTGAAGGCTCGGTGATTTCCACACGGCCACATGGCCAGGTTACACGGCCGTGTGGGTTGTGCCCGTGTGGCTTGCTCAGCCTCTGTTTAATGCTTCGTTTCTCCCTCGTCCGGACTCCGAATCAGTCGCCGTTTGATCCCAGACGCTCGTAGTCTCGTCCTCTTTCTTTTCATGACAAGATTTCATGATTATTTTTCCATAAAGTGAGGTAGAAATCCATTCTTCTTCAGGTCATGCCCGAGTTTCTTCTCTCGAATCGTCAATTGATCTCTGATTGACTTGAAACTTGCGCCTATGCTTCACTTTATGTGCTAGGACCTGAAATGTGACAAAGGAACACTAGCGAAATAGGCCAAAGACACAATAATTCAAGCTCAAACAATCAAGAAACAAAGGGGAAAACATGTGCAAATACCGAGTCATCAGAGTATAAATAGGAGCGGTAGGTAGCATTTACACAGGTTGGACTCTCTCACTAAACTCTAGAGAATACCACTTCTCTCTCTAAAACTCAAACTGACTTGATCGTCAGAGGACTAATGGGCCCGGGCGCCCTCCTCCGTGTGCGTGTGTGCAGGTCAAGCGCATTGGACACATAGAGCGGGGATAAGGTCGGTGTGAACATGGAGGCGTCGCCGAGTGGAGAGGAGGAATAAATCACAGGGAACCCCTCCGCGGGGGTCAAGAGAAAGGACGCCCGAAGCCTTGGAAGAGGAAGATAGTGAGTCGAGGTTCCCAAGTTCCCAGGGCGCCCCGCTCACCAAGAAGGATCTATTTAGGATCATCGAAGACCAGGATGAGGCAATTGAGATTCTCAAGCGGGAAGTTGAGGCATTGAAGAAGGGAGAGGGAATGGGGCGTAGTCCGACTTCAAGGAAAAGGGAAAGAGATGTGGAGACAGAAGAGGAGTCTGGGCAAGCAAGGGGCCCTATTTTTGTGTGGCACCCAGGAGACCATGCAAACTCGGATTTTGAGGTGCGCCACAGCGCCTACCCCGACATTGCCCAGTAGGAAAGCCCTTGGCAAGGAACTTGCTAATGGAGCCGGCTGGAACCAACATACCCCCACTTCCTGTCTACGATGGGACGACAGATCCGGACGACCATCTGAACGACTACTTTACAAAGATGCAACTCTACAACAGCTCCGATGCCACCTTGTGCAAGGTGTTCCCATCAACTTTCGCAGGCGTAGTGTTGGATTGGTATCACCAAATTGAGGAGGGGCGCATAGAGTGCTTTGAGCAATTTGCAGCAATGTTTTTGGCAACATTCGCTAGCAAGAAACGTCGCTCCCTGACCATAGGCGTCCTCTTCAAAATTAAACAGAAGGATGGTGAGGCCTTGAGAGAGTTTTACGAGAGGTGGCTCTCCATAGCCCTAGCGGTAAGGGACACCCATCCTTCGGTGTTGGGATGTTGCCTAAACGAATGCACCTCTAGTGAGGAACTTTGTAGGGCGTTGGCAAAGAGAGATGTGATATCCACGGAAGATTTGGACCGTAGGGTGCAAAAGGTAATCGTGTTGGAGGAAACCTTGGCAGCCCGGAGGGATGGAGGCGGGGCGCTCCAACCGCGAGGGGCGGGCTCCTTCACGGAATTTAACGGTACGCTGAAGAATGTGCTCCAATATGTCAAGGAGAAGGGATATCACGTTCGATGGCCAGGATCGATGAGAGGGCAACCTAATGAGCGGAACCTGGACCGATACTGCAATTTCCATCGGGAGAGAGGGCATCATACCGCCGATTGTTATCAACTAGATAGAGAGCTGCAAGGCTTGGTGGATAGAGGAATGCTCAACGACTTTATAGGAAAAGCCGAAGAGAAAACGCACCGCACTTGTTTAGACAGGACGGAGTTGAAGACAATAGAGCTGCCCCCACCACCATACGACCTCGACCAGGACAAGGCGCCCGAGCGAGTACAGGTCACGGTAGAGTCCATCACAGGATCGGTCGACCTACGGGAAAAATTGGAAGCAAACCGCCGTTTAAGTGCTGCTTCGGTGGGCGCCCAGGAGGCCATCGACATTCATTTCAACCAGACACTTGAGGAAGCATGTAGAATTCCATCTATGGACGCGTTGGAGGTACAAGGAGTAGCAGCGGGTTGCAAGGTGAAACAGATGCTCGTTGACACAGGAAGCTCGATGGACATGCTGTTTACGGAAATAGTGGCACAAATGCAGTTGTCACCCGATTTAATCCAACCCTCAGACTCTGTGCTAATTGGATTTTCTGGGGCGCCCGCAAGAGTGATCGGCCGAGTGCGCCTGCCCGTAACTCTGGGGGACAAGGAGCAGAGGATCACTCACGCCGTAGATTTCGGAATATTGGACTGCCCCTCCCCATATAACGCGATACTTGGGAGGCCCCTCCTGGCCCTCTTCAACGGAGTGACGTCTACATGCCATCAGACTCCAAAGTTTATCGCCCCTCAAGGAATGGGAGTAGCCCGAGGACAAAGCGCCCCGTGTTATGCCCGCGAGACGGGGGGTAAGCGCCTACGGAGAGTTGAGAGAGTTAGCATGGTGGAAATCCCGCCAAAGGAGGTGCCTCTGGCCGAGGCAGCAGATGAAGACCTTCTGATCGCTTTGGATGAGGGGCGCCCCGATAGGAAAATTCGAATATCGGCACAAGCACCCGAGGATATGAGAGAACGATTGGTTGACCTACTGCGTGAGTTCAGGGAACTCTTCGCGTGGATCGCCATGTAGATGCCCGGCGTGGCACCCGAAACGGCAGTCCATTGGTTTGTAGTAGAGAAGGAGAAGACGCCTGTCCAGTAGAAGAGAAGAAATATGTCGCTAGAAAAGGAGGCCACGCTACGGACGAAAGTTAATAAGTTGCTTGGAGCAAATTTGGTAGAAGAAGCCACCTACGTCACTTGGTTGTCGAACGTGGTATTTGTGCCCAAGCCATCGGGGGGATTAGAGGATGTGCGTCAATTTCACAAGACTCAATCGAGCATGCCCTGCTGATGCATACCCGATGCCTTGCATAGATCTGTTGGTAGACGCCACCGCTTATCATGAGATACTCAGCTTTGTGGACTTGTTTTCGGGATACCATCAAATCCTCATGTCCGAGGAGGACCGAGCGAAGACGACCATCATGACTCCTTTTGGGAACTATTGCTATCAGGCCATGGCCTTTTGGTTGAAGAATGTGGGCGCCACCTATCAGCGCATGGTCAACAATGTTTTCATGACCAGATTGGTCAGAATGTGGAAGCCTATGTGGAAGACCTGATAGTGCAAAGTGGCAAGGGAGAAGATTACCTGGGCGGCCTACGAGAAACGTTCGAAACTATGCGAAAACATAGGCTTCGGCTTAACCCACTCAAATGTGTATTTGGTGCCGAGGCAGGAAAATTCTTGGGCTTCATGATCACGAAGCGGGGCATCGAGGCCAACCCAAAACAAGTGGCCACAATTGTCCAACTGGCGCCTCCAAAAAAACCTAAGAAGGTGCAAGGCCTAGTGGGCAGGCTAGCAGCGTTGGGGCGCTTCATACCAAGGTCGGCCGACAAGGCGGCCGTGTTCTTCCGAACACTTAAGAAAACAGTACGCTTTCGTTGGAACGCCGAGTGTGATGAAGCATTCGAAGAACTGAAGCGTCTACTTACCACACCAACTGTAATGACGGCGCCCCGGGCTGGAGAGACTTTCTACCTATACATCGATGTCTTCGAATTTTTGGTGAGTGTGGTTCTAGTATCGCGAGCGGCGCCTACGGGAGAAGAGCGGCCGGTGTACTACGTCAGCCAAACAATGGTTACACACGAGAGGCGGTATGCTCCCATTGATAAGGCCGCGTTGGCGGTTGTCATGACAGCGACCAAGTTGAGACCATATTTCCAGGCGCACTCCATTGTTGTACTCACTAACCTCCCTCTGAAATCCACGTTGGAATCAATGGACGTGGCGGGGCGCCTCGTCAAATGGGCATTGCAATTGAGTGAGTACGACGTACAATATGCACCCCGGCCAGCGATAAAGGCTCAAGTGTTGGTGGAATTTGTCTCGAAAGGAGTGATGGCAGTCGAAACGGAGGGCAAAGATAGTTGGCAAGTGCAAGTGGATGGTGCAGCCAGCCGCACCGGGGCAGGGGCAGAAATCGTGATCGTTAGCCCCATGGGGGAGGGGGGTGATGCATGAGGTTGCCCTACGCTTTGCACCGCTAAAAACCAACAATGATGTTGAGTATGTGGCGGTCATCGCCGGACTCCACATGGCCAGGGAGTTGGGCGCCCAGAAGGTGCAAGTTAAGTCAGATTCCTCGTGATCAACCACCCACTACAAGAATTTTCCCATACCGCTATGGAACTGTTTGTGGCTAAAATGTCAAATTTGCGTGGCTAAATTATATAGCCACAAAATTTTTATTTTGTAGCTTGCGTAGCTAGAAGTGGCGCAGCTAAAAGTTAGCCACACATTTTTCCAATTACGTAGCTAACAACCAATGCATTTAGCTATAAAAGAAACATAATATAGCTGAAAGTCTTGCCACAAAATGGATATTATGTAGCTAGATCATGAAGATTTTTTGCTACTAAGAATATAATTTGTTGCTTTATCAAGCATTTTGCTACGCATTCATAATTTGAAACTAAAGAACGATAGTTTTTGCCATGCATTTAGCTATAGATTTTGACACAAATTATCTTCAAACTATAACAAAGTATGTTTTACTACTAAAAGAGTCGTGGCTATAAAATTTACTAATAGCTTACAAAATACTTAACATGGCTATAATGTTTATGTTTTTGCTACCAAGTATTTTGTAACTGTAGATGAAGTATTCTTGCTACGGTGTAATCATCGTGGCCAAAAGAAATCAAGATTTAGCTTTATGTATGCAAGTTGTGGCAACAAAATCTATTTTATGCTACTAGTAATTCCATAGCTAAATCTTTTTGTTTTTGCTTCATAAAATACTACATGTGGCACAAGTTATAAAACATTTGCCATAAACTACTTTGGAGCTATATATTTTGCTGCGGTTGGGTACACAGCTATATTATTAGTCGCTATATATATTGAAAAATTTAGCCCCGAAATGAATTTTGTGGCTGTAAACTTTTTTTAACCACAATGAAGCTTAGAATTTATTTTTTTATTTTTTTTTTCAAAATTAAATGTGTTTAAATTGTTCGTTGTGGTGGGAAACATAATGATTACATTACATGACTATGTATAGACGTGGCTGCATATCATGTTATTGTTAGTTGTAGGCTTAGACTATTGATCACACATCCACGAAATAATATAAATAAATTCAGCACATGAGGCATGATCCGGAAACATAATAAAAAAACATAATGACTAATTTGAAAAGTTATTATCAAATAGAAGCAAAAACATAAAATCGATAGTCCAAAGTCTAAACTGATAATCATCCTAAAAAGTGCTACACCCCTCGAAGAATTGCAATGATGAAATCTCTAGAATTCGTTCAGATTATTCACTCTCTGTCACCTGCAAAAATTGAGTAATGCACAAGTGAAAAGACAAGAAGATGAAGATCAAACATAAACAATTTAAAAATTCTCACTTACTTCCTCATTAGACTCATCTCTTGGCGCTGAAGATCTTGTATTAGAAAGTAGGATTTGAAACTTTTCTTCCCATTTCTTGTTCATATCAGCCATTTGTTTCTCAACGTCTCTGGTTATCTTATCTACTCGTTCATTGGCTTCCTTTTTGGCTTGTTCCACGTGTTCACTCGCTTCTTTTCTAGCAGCTTCTACTTGTTTTATAAGTGCTTCTTTGGTTGGTTTAACACCAAAGAATTCGATCACGCCTTTTCCAGGTCCATAAGCTCGCACATAGCCATTCTTCTCAGGTCCTAGAACCTTTTCAAACATTTCTTCATCATTCATAGAAATAACTCCTTCAACTCTTTTTTTCTTCAATTGATCAAGTTGAGACTGCGTTAGAAAGATGAAAACAACAATCAATCGTTGAGTAGAAACTGAACTGAAAGAAACAAATTACGTAATTGATATGTAATGAAATACCCAATGTTTTGATCTTTTAAATAAAAGTTCTCTTACAATCACATCTTGGGAGTCAGTGTCTATAGCCTTTCCTTTCTTTCTCTTACGTGATTCAATCCAAACCTCAACACGAGAAGGAACAGTTCCATTTTGTTTTTTCTGAAAAGGAAATAGGGATTATTAGCTTAGAATAAAATAAAGTATGATATAAATAATTGAATATTCTTATAACATAAATGTACCATTTGGTGTCTAAGTCGAGCAAGACTTTTTGTGCCTGTGTAGGGTGGCATTGAACGTTTTGATCTATTCTCTTTATTTTTCAAACTCCTTTCCTGACAAAACGAAACAAATGTTTAATATACATAGGAAAAAACTATTCGAGAACTTATATAATTTATCTTGCATAAAATTATTAAACATAATACCTAGAAAGTTGGATCGCTCCATAAGTTAACAAGATACTTCCAATCATCTTTTGAGACTCTTTTTGACCTATTCTTCAAGCGACTTTTGTAACTATGTTTCTTGTTGAAATATTTCTGCTTCAACTTTTGCCTATGATCCCGATATAATGCATTCATGTGACCGATGATTGCTTCCATCCTTCCCATTGGTAATTCAAATGTAAACTTCTCCTAAAAAATGAGAGAATCATATTAAATAAGAATTGAGATATGATTTATCTACAAGTTAGTAAATAATTCAAAAAAAAATCAAGTAAAAATTTGATTACCTATACAATTGCCCACATATGCTAGCTAGCATCATTACTAATATCCCTCCATCTTTTCACTTGTAAAGGACAACATGATCGATTTCGAACCGTTACTCCCAAGAACCAAACAAAACTTGTTGTGTTTTCTCCAATTGCTTGATGATCTTCATCAAAATCTACTGGCAGCTTTCTTCCTTCCTCTAACTCAATAATTTTCATACATCGTGTGGGTCCTTGCGTTTTCTTTTTCTTCAAATGCGAACCTTCTGTTGAGAAGGTAAAATAAATAATTAAATAGGATTCTGAAAATACCTTATCAATCGGACTGCTATATGAAAAAGCAAATATATAATTATGTCTTTGGGATGGAAAGGTGTATATATAATATACCTCAGGGATTAAGCTACGATTCTTGTACAGTTGATGGTTAAATTGGATCATGGGGATCACTGTCCAGAGGAATCTCTTCTCCCATGCTTTCATTTGGCAAAATATCATGTTTTCTTGACAATGTGTATATCTCAAATATAGATAGCATGTGTTTCTTATAAGAGGACAGCATGGATGAAACATCATCATCATCATTCACACGTACAAGCCCATTCAAGTCACTAATAGGAGTTCTTGGTTTAAGGTAATATAACTTATCTCCATCAAGAATGTTAAAGCCACATGCCTTAAGGTTATCCAGGATAGTGAAATAACAGAGGAAATCCACCTCATGGCCATCTTTTACCATCTCACTCCCCCCCTGTGTACTGCCTACGAGGTGAAAATGTGAAATGACCTCCATAATGATACTTGATTGTTAATTCTTGGGCATTGAAATTTCCCTTACAGTGAGCATACTAGAGAAACCAGAGAAACAATAGCTACTTAGTAAGACATCCTGACAATTAAGTATTTAAACGTGCAATTTAATTAAGTCTAAGTGAAAACAAAAACATACTTGGTGAAGGTATTTCACTTGCTGGGTTTTCAGGAGAAGTAGGAACTGAAGAGTCCCTTAAAGTTGAAGGAATTTCATTGGACGAATGAGATTGGCTCATAATATTATGTTCTGAATCTTCTTCAACTTGGTTTTCATTACTTTTTTGGTTCACCTTCCTTTTCCTTTTCCAGAGCCCTTCACACGCGGCATTGTTGAAGATAGACCTGTAAAAGTAATTTCTAAATTATCAACAAGGCCAATTGTACTCAAAGACCATGCGTATAAAAAGAATGCAGGGGCCGGTCGGCGATTTCAATTTTGTTTCTCCTCGTTTGTATATATAATATAAACTAATAAGATAAACAATATATTGACCTTGCTTTAACCTGATTTTAGAAGACAAGGATTCATGGTAGCTTCCAAAGAGTAATCAATAAAAGTACCAATCCGGAAAAATTGAGCCGATAACAAGAACAAAAGAAAAGGGATGAGGGTCATTAAGATCTGACATCCAGGTACAGATGCATATATGCACGGTCAACCCTTTTTGGCTACGAAATACATTGAGAATTGAGAAAACCGTTTTGTGATCGATAGGAACTGAAGCAAGAATTAAGATTATACTAAATGCGCAGTATCAATTACCTTGGTAATAGTTTCAGCTTCTAGGAATACAAGTGCTCTATCGGTAGTCTTTCGGAATGCTTGAGTGGAAGAAACCATGATGATTTATATAGTGAGTAAGTTCTCAAAATTTGCATTCCCGCTGTAAACTTCCGCCCTAAACTTTTACTTTTCAAGCTTCCGCTCAATTTTTTTGCCCACGAATTTGTTTAAGGAGAAATATCAAAAGAGGGTTGTGGCGGCTCTTGAAAGATAATGTTTACAAGAAAAAAGAAAACCAATTACCTATTTGAAATAGGATACCCAAAATGGGTAACGTCATTGATTTTAGCTTTATTTGTGCTAACCAAATTTCCTTTTTCTAAATTAATATTTTACAGTAATTACCCTGTCAGGCAATATCAGTAAAAACTATTGGTAAAAAGGATTTAGTTAACAAATATAGTGGCTAAATCTCCTAGAATTTTGATTCAATATTAATAAGTCCAAACTATAAAGGACTTTCATAGATAAACGAGCTAATGTTTTTAGTCTAAAGATAACTGAGCTACTAAATCTTGGTATAAATGAATTAAATAAGTTTTAAGAAATTCATCTATAAATAATATCTTTTTGTACTTGTTATTTAAAAGAATTCATTTTTTTCCAAAAAAAAATTCATTTTCAATTCTAAATTTTGAATTATACGGAATTGGAACTAGTTATAAGAATCCCTAGTAATTGAGATGAAATTTTCAAATGAATTCCACAATTAATTGATAATTCTGTTTCAATTGTATCAGTGAGTTAAGAAACAGAACTAATGAATATAATAGAAACACACAAGAACAAGTTTGATATTCTACGTATGGGAGCAAAATTATTTGTTTAGAAGATAGATTTTCATTGAATATTGTTTCTAAAAATTTAAATATGACATACCATAAACATGGATTCATTTAACAATAAATTTTAATGATAGTTCATTTCAAAATGAAATGAATTCTCAATACATTTTATTTATGTTTGGCCCGACTTTTAGAAGTGCTTTTCGGCTTTAAAAGATGAAACATGGCCAAACACCTCTAAAAGCTCGACTTTTGAAAAGCCGAAATGCGCTTTTGTATAACATAAAAGCAGAAGCTCTGATTTGGAACTTCTGCGAAAAGCTGTTTTGAAAATACAAGATTATCCTTACCATATTTTAATTTTATTTCAGGTGTGGGCAATGGGTTGGTTGATACTGGAACAAAATGATGTTTCGACCAGACCACACCAAATCGTATATAGTTTGATCCGGTGTTTGGTTCCATGAATTTTATTGATACTGAAGAAAAATGGACCGAATTGACATTTGAACCGGAATAAAGCTGATTGAAGGCACTATTGGTCCAATCATTGATTCAGGTCCGGGGCGGGTATTTCCATACCCATACCCGCCCCATGGCAAGTCAGGTACAGGTCGGGTAATTTATCACAGGGAGCGGGTCGGGACAGGTCGACCCAATGTGTATGTAATTTATGCGAAAAACAATAGAAATATTCGTTATATCACTAAAACACCAAGAAAGAAACGATAATATGATAAAATGTAGTTAAATTATTGAAGAAATTGAGGTTTTCACTTATTTACAACTTTATTATAGCTAAAATATAATGTAATAAGATGAAAAACCTAACTAATTTGACTAAGATTACATGTAATTTAGGCAAGAACGGGTCGAGAATGGGGCGGGTCAGGACAGGTCGGGTCAATGAGAGGTACCCATGCCCGCCCCAAAACAGGCCAAACAGGTCTGGTAAATTGTGTCAGGTCGAAATTGCCATTCCTACTTGAGCTCTTAGAAACACACTTTTCAAACCAAGTAATAGAGTGTTTGCCTAAAAAACTACTAAAAGTACTTTTTTAATATTAAGAGGTCTTGTAAAAGTTCAAATATAATTTTAATATAAAATATAGCAAAAATTCAAAAACTTTAAGTAGTAAATTTTTAATATAAGAGGTATTAGAAACACACTTTTCAAACAAAGTAGTTGAGTATTTGCCTAAAAACTACTAAAAGTACCTTTTTAATATAAGAGGTGTTGTAAAATGTTCAAATATAATTTTAATATAAAATATAGCAAAAATTCAAAAATTTAAAAGTAGTAAAATGGATCTTATTAGATTTTTTTTATCACAAGAATTATTTTCTATTAATTTTATTTTTAATGGTTGGATATGAACCAGATGAACCACCTTGGTTTAATGTAAACCAAGGTTGTCAAACCGGTTTATACCGTTATACCGGTTTAGTAACTGGAATGGTGCGACCGGTGGTATAACCAGTTTGAGCCGGTTCATGCTGGTTTAAAAAAATATGAAAACAATTAATATCCAATGTATTTAATCATAATTACTAACTTAAATTTAATAAAAATTTTATGATTTATTTTATGATATAATTTTATTGATTGTTAAGAACTTTTCATTCAACTATAAACAATTAACGAATTTTTCCATTAGTAGCTAAACCTTGGATGGTCTAATTTATGTCCTATTGAATTTACTTTTCTTAATAATTTGATATTTTTTGGCAAAATAAAACCCCTTTGTCCCCGTGCATAAAGTAGCGCCCTTTAGTTCTCTTCACCGAACAAAGACCCTTTCGCCTTCCTCTTCAATCCGCAATTCATTCTCACTTCTCAGTATCCCGATTTTTTCCTTCACTCTTTGGCCACCATCAAATCCTCCTAACTGAGCGATCAATCAATGGAAGATATTGACTAATGTATGCGAGGAATTCCTTCTTCTCACTATTGACTACCCATCAGCCCGGCCCAACCCTGTGGATCCAAGTCCTTGATCGCGACGTAGCTCCCGACCTGCATTGTCCCGATGAGCTCCTTCTGCCCCTTCACCGCGCTCTCGTAGTTCCGCCACAGCGAGTCGATCCACTTCCCCATCGACCCCAGCAGGATCGACGTCGCCGCCGCCACGACGGAGCATATCAGCACCGCCGCAAAGCTGGCGACGAAGATGATGCTCGAGAGCTTCCTCCACGAGTGAATCGACTTCAATTTCTTGTCCAACTTCCTCTTCTTGCCTTGCAGCTTCTCCACAGACCGTTAATTTCCACCGTCGCCAAGCTCTGAATCGGATTCCACTCACCCAATTTCCCTGCTCCCCAAACCCAGGTTTGACTGGTTCATCTCACTTTTCCTGTCTTATTAATTGTTGGCTTTGGTCAATTCTTTTTCTTAATGGCTTAGCAGTGTTGTGTTGTACATAAGTCATGATCAGAATTGGGGTTCGTGGCAAATACTCGATGTGATGTGGTGGAACTGGAGAATTGATCGTGGGGTGAATTGCTATATTGGTTGCATTTCCTGTTAAGATGTTCCCTTCATTCTTCAACAAACCATTTTTGGAGTTCTTTAGTAGGGTAGAGTACTTGTTAACAGATAGGCATAGGTACATGGCTATATAGCTTAGGTTGGAGGATATGGAATCAAAGTTACAGAATTATGGTGGCATTGTTGGTGGGATGTCAATATTGTGCTATGTGTTGTGACTTTTGAGTATTGCTCTTGGACTGAGAATTGAATATGGAATTGTATACTTACTACTAGTTAGAAGATTCAATACATCAAGACAACTAGGAAGCTCATCCGAATTGGGAATAGTTATCTGATGTACACCTAGGTTCTGCTAACATGATTTCAGATGTAGAAGACTCGATGCCTATTAATCATGAGCCAGCAGTAGAAGATGTTCACGACGAGACAGTGGCTTAGTTGCTGAAGGTTTTGTGAATGTTCAGAAATTTAGGGTATCCCAAGATCGTTAGTTCTGGTAGATTGCTAGCTGCAACAACATCATAGATCACATTTCCTCTATATACTTGTTGCCTTAAATTTTTTGGAATTAGTTGGAATTTTTGTAATCAAACTTTTATGAATTAATAGGCATACAGGGCTGGGTTTTTGTGGGTAGTGGTAGGGTCAGGGCTGGGTTTGGCCCAGTTTCACCCCTACTGGGAAATCGTCAATCTGAGAAGAAACCTGAATTATGAATTGAATGCCTATGCCCGACATATATATTTGTAGAGTTGTGAGCATTCTTATTATTCTTTGTTTTCTAACCCAACTTATATGTTTCACTGTAGATTAACAAGATGGACAGAAGCTGGATGCAAGTTTCAAATAGATTGAGTAGAGAGTACATTAAAGGAGTAGATGATTTCCTGGATTTTGCATCAACCAACGACAACAAGAAAGGTGTGATTTGTTTCCTTGCAAGAAGTGTAATAATGTCTTACACTTTACCAAAGAAGAAGTGAAGGCTCATTTGATCATGAATGGGATTGTTAAATCTTATACAAGATGGTATTACCACGGAGAGAGCTTTGTCCAAGATGACCATTTTGTCGATGAATTGGTACCGGGGGAAGGTTGTGGTAGAATGATAGATTTGATTAAAGATGTCAGAGGGCCTGAAGTTGTGGATTCTATAATGCATGATGCCTCAAAAGAAGATATAGTTCAGCCAGATCTAGAAGAACCTCCCAAGCATAATGGGACAACAGGTAAGTTTTTCAGGCTATTAGAGGATGTTGAACAAAAACTATATCCCAATTGTGAAAACTTTACAAAGTTATCATTTATTGTGAAGTTATTCCAAATCAAGTGCCTTTATGGAATAAGTGATACTGCAATTGAAGACATATTGAAGTTGTTTAAAGAGGCACTTCCTGCTGGAGAGACTTTGCCCAAATCTTTTTATAAAGCTAGAAGGATGATCAAAGATTTGGGTCTTGATTATAGGGAAATAGAGGCATGTAGGAATGATTGTATGTTATTTTGGAAAGAGTATGAAGTTGTGCAAAATTACTTACACTGTGGAGAGCCGAGGTACAAAGTGGAGGAAAATTGTAAAAAAAATTACCATAGGGGAAAGGAGTGCCATACAAAGTTTTGTGTTACTTTCCTTTAACCCCAAGGTTGCAGAGATTATTTATGTCATCAGAAGTAGCATCAAGTATGAGATGGCATCATGATCAGCGTTTGAAAGATGGGGTTCTTAGACATCCAGCAGATTCTGAAGTGTGGAGATCTTTTGATAAGGCAAATCCATGTTTTTCTCGAGAACCTCGTAATGTTAGAATTGGGTTATCTGCTGATGGTGTCAATCCTTTTGGCAACATGGACAGTTCTCATAGTACTTGGCCAGTTATTGTCACTGCATATAACCTACGTCCTTGGATGTGTATGAAACAATCCTATTGCATGATGTCGTTGTTGATACCTGGTCCTAAAGCTCCAGGAAATGATATTGACGTATACTTGCAGTCTTTGGTAGAGGAGCTTAAAGAATTATGGTATTATGGTGTTGATACATTTGATGCTTCAAAGAAAGAAACATTTCGCATGCGTGCAGCATTATTATGGACGATTAATGACTTTCCCGCTTATGCAAACTTATCAGGATGGAGTACAAAGGAAGCATTAGCATGTCCTTCATGCAATAAGGAGACTCATTCCATTAAATTGAAAAAAGGGTGTAAGTTTTCTTACATGGGTACTAGACGGTTTTTACCTTCTGATAATAAATGGCGCGATAATAAGTGCTCATTTGATGGAAAGGTAGAAAAAAGATCTCCTCCAACACAATTATTTGGTGATCAGGTGCTGAAACAACATGAAGGGCTTGTATTCGATGAGTTCGGAAAAGGTGAGAATAAGAAGATTACAAAATATGATCGTCAAAAGTATTTGAATTGGAAGAAGAAAAGTATATTTTTCCAATTGCCTTATTGGAAGAAGATTTTGTTGCGCCATAATCTTGATGTAATGCACATAGAGAAGAATGTATGTGATAATATTATTGGCACTCTACTTGACATTGAAGGGAAAACAAAGGACAGTCTGAATGCTCGGCGCGATTTGGAGCATATGAAAATACGAAGAAAGTTGCATCCGGTGGAGGAAGATGGGAAATGGAAATTGCCACCTGCATGTTACAGTTTGCTTAAAGAAGAAAAGAAGAGGTTGTGTACATTTTTTAAGAAAGTAAAAGTTCCAGATGGGTTTTCCTCGAATATTTCAAATTGTGTGAGGCTGAAAGATCGAAAGATATTTGGTATAAAGAGCCATGATTCCCATATTATCTTGGAGCGTCTCCTTCCTCTTGCTTTACGTGGAATTGTTCGTCCAAGTGTTTATGATGCCATCACAGAATTTTGCATATATTTTAGAGAGTTGTGTTCAAGGGATCTAAGTGTAGATGTTCTTAAACATCTTGAGTCTTCGATTCCAATAACATTGTGCAAGCTCGAGAGATTGTTCCCACCATCTTTTTTTATATCATGGTCCACTTGACTATACATCTTGCTACCGAAGCAAAACTTGCTGGGCCTGTACAATTCAAATGGATGTACCCTATTGAGAGGTAATGTAATGTTTACCTTATATTTTTCTTATTTTGAAGTGTGATATTTGAATTCGATGGAGATTTTATTATTGATGATCATATATTTCTATAAATAGGTATCTTCGGAAATTGAAACGTTACGTCCGAAATAAAACTCATCCAGAAGGTTCAATGGCAGAAAGATATATTGTTGAAGAAAGTATCATATTTTGTTCAAGGTACTTACAAGGGATAAACAATCCATTCAATAAACTTGAAAGAAATGCCGATGGAGATGACAGTGTTTCAAGTAAGAAATTATCAGTTTTTGCACGTGCTGGTTATCCGTTAACCATGGATGAAAATAGATTATTGGAGGAATTAGAAAGAAATCAAGCACATCTCTACATTTTAAACAATTGTGAAGAAGTAGAACCATTCTTAAGGTATGTCTCCTATTTATTATGTTACTTCAATTGATTACTCTCTAGAATAATGTTTGTATCTATCCATGACCAATGAACTTGTGATTTTGAATCATACAATCGTATAATACTTTAGCACATATATATTTATGAAGTACGGGTATTATGTTAGTATGGGCTGGGAAGGAATATTTTAATTGTACTTGCTCAAATTTTGTTGTCTGATTCTGCTGTAACGGTTCAACCTGCAACGTGCTTAAAGTATATCCTTTTATTAGTATGATGATTGCCTGATATAATATGGTGTGACGAATGAGAAAAGAAACTGTAGGCTATCATACAGACTTGGATCAGTATCATATTAATGCTAGATGTCTAATGGTTTGGTGTCCATATGGATGAACTTTGGATTTGTAATGCAGCATATACAATCCTTTAGTCGGCCGGCCGCAGAAAGAGGACATGGAACATGGCTTTATATTAGCTGATAAATATAAGCTTGTTCTAACTAGTGTTATTATGTTTTGCAGAGAATATGAATGTTCTCATCATACCGTAGGTTTTGATGTCTGGTTTTATCATCATGTAAGTTCTTTTTCTTTATCTATATAAAAAAGCTTTTATCTATCATCATACCGTAGGTTTTGATGTCTGGTTTTATCATCATGTAAGTTATTTTTTCTTTATCTATATAAAAAATATTTTATCTATATTTACTTAAATATATGATTTTTTAATTTTCATAGGTATCAGAACTATGCAAAGGCAAAGATGCACAATTGACTAAAGAGCTAATTTCATTAGCTCGAGGTCCTCTATGTGGCGTTGAGAGATTTCATGGTTATGTGATAAATGGTTTTACATTTCATACAAGAGATCATGAAAGTCAAAAGGTGAAGCAAAATAGTGGCATTTTGCTACGAGGATTATTGGGTTCAAAAGCTATGGATTACTATGGAGTTATTACCGAAATAATGGAGCTTCAATACCTAGGAGGCAATACGGTTGTCATGTTCAAGTGTGATTGGTGGGATGTTGACAACATCAGCTAGGGAGTGAAAATGGATAGATATGGCTTTGTTAGTGTCAATACAACTCGTAAGCTATTGACTAATGAGCCATTTGCACTTGCATCTCAGGTGGAACAAGTATTTTATGTTGAAGATGGGTCTAATCCTAATTGGCTAGTTGTTTTGAAAGGTCAATCTCAAAGCTCGTTTGATTCCCTCACCAAAGACCCAACTGATGTACAATCAGGTGATCAAGAAGAGGCTTTTCAACAAGACACACCTGATCCTATTTATCCAAACCCCTACCCAGTCCAAGATGATGAACTAATTGGTTGGGAGGAAGACTCTAATGAAGATGGAAATGAGATGCATGTTGATTCTGATGATGACAGTCATGATAGTGAAATTAGTGCATATGGAGATGATAGTGATCAGGATGAACAAGTTGACATTGACTTCTTGTCATAAGCTACTAGAATTGTGATCATTGTACATTTTTGTTTGGCAGGTACCACTTGGCGTACTAGCACTTGAGACACATTTTGGTTGCTTTTTTTCACTTAACATTGCTATAAATGGAGTAGACAACTCATAATTTGTTATTTTTTTCATTTGAAATTTCATATATAAAGCTAGACTATGACAGTTTTTATAGTCAATAATGCATTAGATGCTTCACAACTCTGCAATTTTTAAACTAACGTTTTCTTGAAAGTTTAGAATTACAGTTATTGATGTTTATTTTACCATTTCACAAAGAAAAACTAGGTGCTTCGTCTTCCCCTGTTCTCTCGCTTAGCTGTGTCTCGCTTCATGTTCAGGGACAAGTGAGAATGCAGACTTTCAGATTACTAATAACACCAATCAATTAATAGAAAAAGATGCCCCAATTGTCTTTCCCTTATGATCCCAACAAGGAAATTACATCTTATGGTACAGGTTTAGGTTTTGTCTCTTCTTTTTTCTTCAATTTTGTTTGTACTTTGCAGTATTTCTGATTTTGGTTAATTATATCGATAGATTCGTATTGGTAATTAAACATTCATAAAGAATGAGCATCCATTAATGGATTTTTTTATATAGTTTTAGCAATTAAACATTCTAGAGTGAGTACCGTATCCAAATGGCCAAATGTATTGTAAAGAATGATAATCCTTTGATGGATATACAATTTTGAATTTTAGTTAATTAGATGATCAGATTTTGGTTAATTAGTGTGTTTCAAAAGTGCGTAGTACTTGTAATATTTGTATTTATGAGATAGCGATTTACGATCTAATTTCGATTAAATCAAAGACAACAACAACTTCAGAGCAAGGTTCGCTACAACTTCAAGTGGATAACTTATATATATATAACTTCGTCAAATTGAAATAGAATCTATTACACACCATGCGGTCTTATGATTATAACATTTGATTCAATGGGCAGACGGAGATATGTTGCACACTGAAAGCCGATCTTCTTCATGAAAATAATTTTTAGCAAACAAAAGTAACTTTTTCCCTTTTCGTGTAGGGGAAGGTTATAAAATTTGCTATAGGTTGTTATACTTGTCTTGTTATGACACCATCGTACGTATGTGTCATTATTAGCTACACTTATGGTATTTGCGGCAAAAGCTAGTTGTAGCCACAAATCTTTGGATGTGGCTAAAAGTCATTGGCCACGGACCATTTGATTTGAAACTAAAATGGCATTACCATAAGCTACAAATAATAATATACATGACAAAAAATCAATTTCGGCCACAATTTTTATTAAATGGCTGCAAGTGATATGATTGTAAAATTATTGCCATGAATAAAAGCTTGGAGGCAATAAACTTATAAGTAGCTTTGATTTTTACTGGTAGCATTAACTTTTGTAGCTAAAGTACTCAAAATTGCCACGATACTTATGGCTCAAAACTAAAAAAATCTATGAGCTTTGTAATTTTACTTTTGTGGCCGTATAATCTAATCAAATTATGATTAGCTACGTCATAACATTCATTGTGGCTATTTTGGTACACTTGCCACACTTCAAATCATCGTGGCAATGAATTCGTGGCAATATGTGATGTTTCTTGTAGTGACCTCAAAGAGATTTACGAGGTCAAAGAAGATGCGCTTGAAAGTTATGTGCGAAGAGAAAGAGAGATGGGCGCCTGGTTTTGGGAGGTCATGTTTATGCATATTCCAAGAGAGGAGAATGCCCATGCGGACGCCTTGTCAAAGCTAGCAACCGCTCTCGACTTCGCAGAGGAACGGAAAGTCATCTTCACAAGGGAGTTGCCACAAGAACATTTGATGGCCACCCTAGCTAGTGCAAGTGGTGGTTGGATGGTGCCCATAGAACTGTTTTTAACCCAGGGCGTAGTGCCCGAAGACTCAAAAAAAGTTTGGCGCCTCCGTCGAAGTGCGGCATGATGTTGCATTATAGAAGGCTGGCTATATAAAAGATCCCATTCGGGCGTATACTTGCGATGTTTGAAAGATGAGGAAAGCAAGACCGCCATCGACGAGGTGCATAGCATGCATGCGACATGCACGCAGGGGCGTGAAGTCTGGAGAAGACAATATTGTTGCGACAAGGGTATTACTGGCCGACGATGAGAAAGGATGGTAGTACACACGTCAACACCTGACAACAGTGCCAGGTGCATGCAAATGACATACACACACCAGCGGCACCATTGCAAGGCAACGTGGCGCCCGGCCGTTTGCTCAATGGGGCATGGATCTCTTGGGTCCTTTTTCAAAGGCACCCGGCCAAATGAAATACCTAATAGTAGTCGTCGACTACTTCTCAAAGTGGATCGAAGCCGAGCCATTGGCCACCATCACTGAGGCCCAGGTGCGCAAATTCACCAGAAAAAACATATTCACCCGCTTTGGCCTTCCCGAGTCCATCGTTACGGACCACGGCAAGCAATTTGATTGCAAAAAGTTCATCGAATTCTACGATGAGAATGGTGTGGTGGTGCGATTCTCCTCGGTGGCATATCCTCAAGCCAATGGACAAGCAGAGGCTGCCAACAAAAGTATTTTGCACGGGTTGTATACAGGCTGACAGGCGCCAAGGGAAGATGGGTGGAGAAGTTTTCTAGTGTTTAATGGGAACACCGGACGACGTACAAGACAACCACAGATGAAACTCCATTTGCTCTAACTTATTGGGGGGGGGGGGGGGTCATTCCAATCGAGATCACTGTTCCAAGCTATCGGGTGGCTCATCATGACCCCGCCAACAATGATAGAGAGTGGGTCGAGGAATTGGACTTGGCAGACGAGAGGCGCGAAGTTACCGTGGTGCGCCCAGAGGCTATGAAGAAGCAAGTCTCAAGATACTATAACAGGAAGATGCGCCCACACGCCATTATAGCAGGCGCCCAGGCTCTCAAACGGGATTTTCGTCCAGACTCCCAGCAAGGAAAGTTGGCGCCAAAGTGGAAGTGTCCATATTGTGTTCACGAGGTCGTAGGCGCCGACACGTTCAAGTTGGAACACCTCAATGGCAAGGTGGTAAAGAGGACATGGAAAGCACAAAACTTGCTTCTCTACCAACCAGGCTCAGGCGTCTCTCCCTGAATCCACAGATGGTATCAGGGTCTAGGACATTTGTATTTATTTTTTCTATCTTTTTTGAGTCACAAGTGTGGTAGTTGTGATGCGCTCGTATTGTGTCCAAAGCGCCCAATATAGTAGCCCCATAATGTGTCAAAAGCACCCAACACATGTAGCGTCCTAACAGTATTAAAGCGCTCGTAATCAGTAAGCGCCTGCCCATGTTTTAATGCCCCTTTCCAAAATGTGTTAAATCGCCCAACTTTGCACTCTTGAACTAAAACAATGTTTGAACAAGACCGGCCACGCAAAACCACCCAATCTCGCGCCCTTTAAAACGGAAAAGAAATAACCTTAAAGTGCCCTTCCTAGCGCCCTCGGAAAGGGAAAAGTAAAATAATATCAGTGCAAGGCGCCTTGCATAACACAGTGAAGAAATGAGACAAGTTGCATCTTGTTTTTTTTATCACAAGTGCGGATACACAAATTCACATTGAAAAAAAATGAGGCTTCACTCGGCACCCGAAGAAGCATCCCCCGCACTGTCCTCCTCGTCCTCGGCCGCGGGAGAGGCGTCTACTTCAGGCGGCGCATCAGCTACTGGAGGGTTAGGCGCCTGCTCCCCCTCATCGGACCCAAGCATATCCATGATCACGAAGTCAGCCAAATCTCTGAAATCCCAAGTATGGTCCGGGTTATCGCGCTCAAACTTCTTCTTCAGAATGCCTATACTCGTGAGGCAGGCATTGGCAAAGAAGTTCTTCCCAGCCTCGAAGTCTTCATAGTGCTCCATAGATGCCTTCAGGGCGACAATCTCCTTCCGGGACGCCTTCAATGCCTTCTTGTAATCCTTCTGACCATGAGAAATGACCGTTAAGTCATCTTGGAGCCACCCCTTCTCTTCTTTGAGAAGGTCGATCTCGCTGGCTTGGGCACCCACCTCTCTAGCAAGCACCTCCTTCTCGGCCTCCAAGTCTTCACGACGGCGCCGCTCCTTGTCAAAGGCGGCCTACAGGTGGGACACTTCTTTGGCCGCCTCAAACTAGGAGTCTTCACATTCCTTCGCCAGTTGTTCGCGGTGCATGTTGGCAGTGGCAAGATCATCCCTAGCCACGGATAAAGAGTTCGAGGCCAAAAAAATCTCTCCCTTGGCCACCTCAAGGCGCCGGGCGCCTCTCTTGGCAAAAAGGAGCACCTACATTGGAAATTTCGCGCTAGCACATACCATGAAAAAATTGGAAAACTCGCGACAAAGACAAGCAATTACCTTCGCTCCCACTTGGGTGAGCTCGCAAAAATGTGCTCTTCGTCGATCTTTGAAGGCACCTGCAACATCTTGGCAGTGGAAATGGCCATGCCCATCGCGCAGCCCCGATCAACGGCGGCGCTGGGGGAGCAAGGTTGGGCGATGCGCCTGATGCTCTAAAACACAACACCAATCTGCGACCAAGTGTAATCGCAGACCGGGAATGCAGTAAAGTGACAAGTGATATTATCAACCCGGGGTCTAGATCTACTGCTTACTCAGTGATTATCTATTATCTAGCCAACTAAAGTAAGTGATTGTTGTTTTAAAAGCAAAAGTAGAAAGAAAGCAGGAATTGGTACGGTTTTCTCAAGCAGGTAAGAGTCACTCGGGAATGAGTCCCCTTAGCTCCTTAGTCAGGTTTCAATTGTATTTCCCTGGGTTGATTTACTGTTGATTAGACTGCGGAAGATCCGGCAGTAGCTTGGAATCTCTTAAGCTGACCAAGCCCTCTCAATCTAACTACCCGGCAAACAACTAGTCTTCACCGGGATAGAAAGCTGAAGCAGTAAGAACAGAACTCCACTACTGGAATTAGATTCCAGTACAAATCAGTAAACTGGCTAACTCTCGTATAGCCAATCTCCTACTACCAAATGATGAGACTCTAGCAACCTAATCAGATTCTATCTATCTCATATTGCAGCAGGAATCAGGAAAAGTGGATCAGACTTCAATTGACTCAATAAACATGCATCATTCGATTAAAATCAAACAGTAATATCATCCCAAGTCATTACAATCAATCCCTAACACATAGAACTAGGGTTCTTCATCCCCAAGTGAGAGAGGGGTTCTACTCCATAGAGAGAGAGAGGAAAACAAGATACAAAGCAGTCATACTCATAATTATGGGAAGAATATGCTCTGGGATGATGATTTCCACTCCTACGACGATCTCCAAGCTTGATTTGATGAAGAAATCTGATTCCTATGATGATTTCCACTTCTAGGATGTGTTCTTCGTCCTTCCTCTCTCTAGGGCTCTGTTTTTGCTCAAGAAATCTGATTCCCCTTCTCTTTGGCTGAATA